TACTACTCTCTCTCTCTCCCCTCCCCACCCCCCTCCCCCTCCTCCTCCTCCTCCTCCTCCCTTGCCCCTCCTCCTCCTCCTCCCTTGCCCCTCCTCCCTCTTTCTTTCTCCATTAGCAACCTCTTTCTCTTTTTCTATTTTTTTTGCCTTTGATCCCCACCCCACCCCCGCTTGACGACAATTTGGGTGGGATGTCAAGGGGTGAAAGACTACCCCTTTTACAGGTACCCCTGTTTCGACTTACTACCACCTCCACCCCATCATCTTCCTAGATTCCCATGGGTACTAAAACCCCACCCCACCCTCACCTGCAACACTTCACGTGCAACCACAGTGAGTAGTTTGTGGGCCGCCCCGGGCCGGCCGGGCCCCGGGGGTGACTCCAGCAGCCGGGGTCCGGGGCGGCCGGGCCGCCGCTAGTGTCGGACGGTCACGGCCGGGTACGGTCAGAGCCACGGTCTGTCAGGGTCCGGGGAGTCGGATCAGCGGATCGGACCGTCAGTGCCCACTTTGCCGTTCAGTGACCGGGCCGGCACTCCGCTGAGTGCCGGGCCCCGGGCGGCCCGGGGTGCAACCGAACTGAGGCGCCGGCCCGCGTGGCAGTGGCGGGGGACCGGGCTCGGAACGCGGCCGGGCCGGGCGCCCCCGGGCGCCCCCGGGCGGCGGGGACCGTCCGATCAGTCGGTGAGGCTGCCGGCCCTGGCACTGAGGCGGCCCGGTGAGGCGGCCGGAGGCTCAGCGGCCGGAGGCCCCCGCACGGGCAGGCTGCCCGGCTCGGGCGCCCCCGGCGCCGCGCGGCCGGCCCGGCCGGGCGGTCGCCCGGGCCCGTGGTGACCGTACCGGGCCCCGGTGAGTCACGCCGGGTCACGCCGGGTCCGGGCCCCGGGCCCGGGCCGAACCGTCCCGGCGCGGCCGGCATGCCGGCCCTGAGTGCCGGGGATGATGCCGCGTGCGATCCGGCGTCACCGCGTCACCGGCGCCGCGAGCGCCAGGGCCCGCCGGCCCCCGGCGTTGTCACTGTGTACGCCGGTCCCGGCCGGAGTCCGCGCGGCCGGCCCCGGCCCGAGTCACGAGTCAAGTCACCTCGAGTCCGACGCCCCGCCGCGCGCCGGGCCCGTTCGGCCCGCGGCGAGGCCCTGGCTGATCGGGCTCGGACGGATCCGATCGGATTGGACCGTACTGCCGGCGGCCCGGCCGCCAGCAGTACCCGTGACCCGGCATACTCACTGATAGTAGGCCGGCAGCGGCAGTCACCGTGACCTGACTCGGCCGGCCCGGCCGAGTCAGGTCACGGGGGCACTGAGCCGCGCGGCCCGGCCCCGGTGCACCAGCCGGCCGCTACTAGCCCCGGCGGCTTGCCCCCTGGGTACTACCCGGGACCGTTACACAGTTTCGTTAGTTGAACTTCGGAACTTGACAGAAACTTCAAAGTTGCCTCTGCGAGGATATTCGGAAGTTCGGCCCGGAGTTCCGAAGCCGCACCGGCCCGGCCGACGGTGAAGTTCCGGACGTCATAACCACCCCTCCTTCGAATTGGACTAGAGGGGGTGGGAGTCTCATCCGAACTACAAGAGCTCACTCAGCGGCTGCTGCGACCGCAACTTCAAGAAGCTTTCAGGGTAGGGTGGTCATCGGAGGATAAGGGGGGATATAGGGGTAGTGATTGGGATAAGAGGGGGTACTGGGATAGTTCGGATTGCGCGAAGGATAACGTGGGGTCCAGTTGACATACGGAGCAATTCATGTTTTAAAAACTGCCACTTTTATCCTGCGGCCACAAAGTTCGATTTTGATTCAGTTTATATGAATTTATGTGAATTTATGTGAATTTATGTGAATTTATATGATTTATTTTCTGTCGGATCGGTGATCCGTAACGATTTTGCAATTATAAAATTAAAACGCACGGTCACTTTTATAAAAGTACTGACTTGTCCTGAAATCCAGGGGTGGTCTTTAGTTAGGGGGCAGTCGAGGAAGTAGTGAAAATTGAGGGTGGGGTAGTTGCTACATGGAAGGAACTCTGGGGTATGTCATCACTAATCTTCCGCTAAGTCATCAGTCTAGATGATGTGCAATATTTCATTTACTGCTCCTATAAAATCTTTAGACATTGCTGGGTATGGTTGCCTCTTTCCTCACCGCTATTTCGGGTTGTGTGCAATTGGGGACGATGAGACTCCGGGTGGTTGATTTTGGTTTCAGATCAAGGGGTGGGTCCGATGACCCCCGTCGTCCACCGACATAATTGTCAGTTGGGAAGGGTGGGTATAGAGGAGGATCAGGGGTCCGACCGGGTTTGAGAAGGGGTGAGGTTGAAGTTTGGGGAATGTCTTGTCAGGGGTGTTTTGATAAGGGGGGTAGTGGGGTGGTATGAGGAAGAAACAATGTTACAATGGTGGGTACTAATGCTGGAAATAATAAGGGGTTATCCAGGGGATCTTAGCTATGGCAGCCATGGGTGGGGTCCTGTTGTAACGAAATGTTTCTGTGTCCAGGGTGGGTAGTTAAGGTAAAATCGATCGGTAAGGCTGGTGGGTCTCGGGTGACAAAAGCATCTCGAAGGGGGGGGGGGTCAGGGTGGTAGGGTACGGGTCCGAGAAATTTCCAAGGGTGGGGGCACAGTTAAATGGTCATGTCACTTCATGGGTAGGGTACTTATTGTTGTCGAATGTAGGGGTGGATGACCAAAGTTGGGGTACTCATGGAGCTTGACTGGGGTACTGATGTTAAAATACATGGTGCAATGATTTTATGGGTGGGTACCTCAATGTTGGTTGTGAGTGGGGTAGGTACGAGATTCTTCTAGGGTAGGTAGGAATAGCAGGGGGTGGGGAAAGTGGGGTAGCACAAGGAGGGTCCGGCATTGTGGGCAGCGAAAGGGAGAGAGGCGGGAGGATAGAATGGAAGGAAAAATGAGGGGATTGGGTTGGAAGGCACGAGTAGAAGATGAACATGCAGAGTCATGTTGAGGATCGAGACAGAGGAGGAGGAAATGACGTCGGGAGAGAGTCGTGGAGATGGGTTTCATTGCATTGTAGCTTACGGCTGGGACGAGCAGTGGTCTGGGGGCGGTAGGTAGAGCGTTTCAAACAGACATGTCTGACAGCAGCATGGGAGGAGTTGAATGAGTAGTCTGTCGATGATTGTTTTCTCTTTGTCTGTTTCCAAGAGTCTCGATCCCTTGAAACGTGTCTGCGGATGAGAATCCTCGCAGCATGCCCGAAGTCTCGATTCGTACCTTGTCGTTCTTGTCCCCCATTGCTTCCTCAAGGGTCTTATACTGGTGTCGCAGGGGATCTTGATTGATGGAAAAGTGTTTTGGTATCTCTTTCTGAGCATCTCAGCCTAGCCTGTCTGATTCGTCCATGAATCGTGCTTGAGAGTTCGACATCTTGTTCTCTTGACCTCGGAGAAGATCGGCACGATGTCGGTGGCCAGCACTCCCCGGATGTTCTCGCCCTACTATGACGATGAGACTGTGATGGAAATGTCCTTGAGGAACAAGATCCTTCAGCAAACCCTTGCGGAGAAGACGGCCGAGATCGAGCGGCTGAAACTCAACTGTACGCAGCTAGCTGGCAAGTATTCCAGAGCCACGAAGTATGTAGAAGAGTGTGAAGTGATCCACTCGGTTTTTGAGCTGGCATTGGATACCATGGTGAAGCTATTGTCCAGTGCTCTAGATCGAGTCCAGAGGCAGCAAGGTGCCGAGAAGCTCCTGTCTAGCACAGGGTTGAAGTGCCGGGAGGATGCGCTAAAGGCGTCACTGATGAGCTTGGAGCAGCAGAGGGAGGAGCAGGAGAAGAGGATCGCGCTGTTCGAAGAAGAGATCCAGCGATTGAAGAAGGAGGTGGAGGATCGAGATGCTGAATATCAGAACCTCGCCAAGCATTTCAAAACGCTAGGCGAGATGGATCGCCGGTGGCATGTCAAGGTGTGTATGGACAAGGGGGGCTTGTTCAGGGAGGAAGAGTGCAACAACTACATGAAGTGGCTTGCTCCCTTCGCCCCGCCAGTTGACCTCAACCACGAGCCCATCGCTGATGAGCTTGTGGATGTGTACGGGGTCGGCCTCAAGTTGTCCAACACTGCACCCTTTGAGATTCTAGGGAGCCACCCGGACGCGCGGGAAGCGAACGGCCTGCCCTTCATTCCATGGCAGGGAGATGTGTTACTAGCCGTGGATGGAGTCTCGGTGGAGAGGCTGACGAAGGAGGATGTTGCCGGATTAATCTGTGGGCCGAAGAACAGCATCGTTGTGCTTCAAGTGCTGAGGCAGTTTACCTACATGTCCGAGCAGAAGTCGAAAGTTTTCCGGTTGGTGAGGAAGGAGCTGAAGGAACGAGTGGAGATGCTCAAAGCCCGGGCTCCTCCAAGATTCGTTCTGAATGGGAAGGGACATGGGAAGAGGAAGTACGAGCACTACTTCCCCCCAACAGGGAGCATGGTGAGATGCGTATCGTCTGTTCTGCCTGTTTTCCTTCTCTGACTCGTGATATCGTCAGCGCATTGGAGATAAGGAAGTTTGGAAGAGCTTGCTCCTGCGGGGAAAACCTCTTTCTGACGATTCAGACCCCAGCGTGTTCAACTTCGATGGGCACATCCTTCATCAGCCGACGTACATCCATGACGGCGACTTCAAGACCTGCACTGTGTGGGATGTGGAGACAGGAGACGTCTACTATCGAGGCCCTCCAGGCCCTTCTCTTACAGAGGAGGACGTGTTGGAGTTCAAACAAGAAGAGGAGAGGAGGGAGAGGGAGGGCCGGGAGCAGAAGGAGCATCTCCTCGCGCTGGAGATCGAGACGAAGGCGAAGATAGAGTTCCTGGCAAAGAAGGAGGCCCAAGCCATCCTGGAGGTTGGAGATTCCTTTGATGTTGCTTGCTTGCCTCGCTTACTTGCGCTGTGGCAGTATGAACGTGAGCGACAAACGAGAGAGGCACTTGTGAAGGAAGCGATCGTCAAGTTGGAGCAGGAAGAGCAGAGTTTGACTCAGCGAGCGAACGGGCCCGTGCAGCAGGAGAGCGCAATTCAAGCGCAGCCTACGGGCAGGAGCCAGAACTTGAGTGGCCCTGACGGGACAGAGCAGAGCGTGGCTCCCGAGTCTCACAAGGACCAGGAGCCTAGCGGAGGGGAGACGCAGGTGTAGCAGCCGTGCTGGTGCTAGAAGGGCCTGACATGCTGCATCGTGAGGTTGAGACCGCAACTCAGGATAGCGCCAACGACGAGCTCAGGGATGAGATTCAAGTGTTCCAAGAGGCGCAGGTGTCCTCCCCCTTCCCCCCGGCCCTCTCCACCTCCCCTCCTCCGTCTCCTCATCTTGTCTGTCTTTGTCTTAATCCTCCTCCCTCTCTTCACCCTCCTCCCTCTCGTCCCTCTCTCACCCTCCTCCCTCTCTCAGCCTCCTCTCTCTCCGTTCTTACTTTCTGCAGTACGCGGCAATGAAAGCGCTGGAACATCTTTCACTCTATAAGGTTGATCCCCTCTCCCTCTCCTCTCTCCCTCTCCCTCTCCCTCTCCTCTCTCCCTCTCCTCTCTCTTTTCCTGGCTTCTCTCCTCGCTCCTATACTCTCGCCTCCCAATTCTCCTCTCCTCTCCTCTCCTCATTGCTCATCCTCGTCCATCAGGCAACTCGAGAAGCAGCTGACTCGGCCGACTCATGCCCGATGCAAGCCGGAAGGGACTCGGACGGAGGCAGGAGTGGCGACGAGATTGTTGTGCCCAAGTTGAACTTTCTCTCCATCAACGGTATCACGTCAGATTGAGCAGACGGACAAGGAAAGAGGTTGGGGAGATATGCATCGACGAGGAGGCCAGAATTCAATGGGCAAGTGTGTGTGTGGGTATGTGGTGGGGCAGACAACAAGACAGCAGGGTGGAGATGGCTAGCGAGGAGGAGGAGAAGGAGGAAGAGCGGGCGATGGAGAAGAGGAGGAGCAGGGCAATGAGGTGTACCAAAGCATGTCGTGTAACGTGTAACATTCAAAAACTTAAATTCGAAGGAGAATTAACAATCAATAAACTCAGTTCAGTCCAGCAAGGCGTCGTAATGGTTCGACCCGTTGTACAGGATGCGGATCGAGGGCCTCTCCTTGGTGTACTTCGCCCCGTACTGCACTATGGCCTTGAAGCCTCCCTGATCCCTCCCCGTCAGTCACCACCCCCAGCTCGCCTCCAGGAGGCGCAAGCTCATCACCTGCTGGGGCACGTAGACGGTAATGGGGCGTCGGAGTTCCTCGGCGAGGACGAACAGCTCGGGTTCTCCTCCGAAGAAGTTGGGAGACTTCATGTTAGCGCAGTACCTGCGACAAGTCAGGGGAGGATCCCGAAAATTCTCCTGCTCCTCCCTCCTCTGCCCTCCTCTGCCCTGCCCTGCCCTGCCCTGCCCTGCCCTGCCCTCCTCACCCTCACTTCAGCTTCCTGCTCCCTCTTTCCCTCCTGTTCCCTCTCACCCTCCCTCTCTTACTGCTTCATGTCGCCTTCGATCACACGCGCCTGCTCGAACGCTTGTCTCTTGTCGACGCAGATCACCTTGACAGCGGCAGTGAGCGACAGCGAGTGATGGGGGAACCCTATAGGGAGGAGGGAGGAAGGAGGAGGGAGGAGGATGAAAGAAGAGGAGGGGGCAAAGTGGAGATCGAGCAACTGGAGGGGGAGGGAGCAGCGTTCAGGTACCTGCCATGCAGCCTTGCGGAGGAAGTCGGCGTCTTGGGTTTCATAGTTATCTGAGAGAGGACGTTTCTCCGCATGCGCAAGGGCCCTAAGGTCATCAATCAGCAAAGCCAACATCAACCATCATCCTTCTGCCCTGCTTGCCTGGCGCTGACCGCCTCCCCTCGTCCCCCCCCTCCCCCTCGCCCCAGGTTATCGATCGATCCCCCATTACCCCATCTCTCCTCCCCCCTGCCCTCGCTCTCGTCTACCTGGCAATCGCGCGAAACATGCACCTCCCATCGCCCTTGATGGGATAGACTTTCAGCACCTGCGCGACTTGTAAGCACGTTCCTCCTGCTGGTGGAGGGAGAGGTAGCAGAGAAGCAACCGGGGAGATTCAGAGGGGAGAAAGATGGGGGGAGGGGAGGAGGAGGGCGGGGCGGGGGGAGACGGGGCGAAGGGGAGGGAGAGGATTTGAAAGGAAGGGTTGAAAGGAGGAGGGATACCGTTGTTCCTCCTGCCCGCATGTGTCCTGATCCTTCTTGCTGCTGTTGCGGTCCCTGCATAAGAGCCTTCGAGGGTGATCAGTAACAAGAAAAGGAACTGGATGATGATGATGATGATGATGATGATGAGGAGGAGGAGGAGGATGAGGATGAGCAGCTCACAGGAGCAGCGTCGGCAAGCAGCTGCCGAGAGTTCCGAATCCTTGGCCAGGAGGAGAGAGCAGTTTTGAACCCCTGGAAGACAACGGTGAGAACGTTGAGACGATCGAGCAGACGAGAATGACGCACGATGGGAAGGGAGGAGAAAAGGAATCGAGAGAAAGACAGAGGAGCAGATAGGGGCACGGCAGAGAGTCAGAGGACAAGAGGCAATGGAAGAAGATAGGAAATCGAGGAGAAGGGATTGGGGAAGGAAGGAAGAAACCTCGAAAGCGGAGCATGCTTTGGATAAAAATCCGTTCCTATGGTTATCCTCGATGACATGTCCGCTAACAATCTCGTTGGACGTGTGGCGGATGGTGATCGGAGATTGAGGAAAAGAAGCTGGCAAAGACAAGAGACGGTCAAGCCTCACACAACCATTCATCCCTGCCCCTGCCCCTGCCCCTGCCCCTGCCCCTGCCCCTCCTGCTTCTGCTCCTTCCCACCCCCAGCTCTTGCTCCTGCGCCAGCACCTCCTCCTCTACCTGTGCATCCCTGAACAGCCAGGAAGCATAGAGCCGCGATTCTGAGATGTCCCATTTCCTGTAGACACAGGGTCAGAACAAGTTCCATCATTCGTTCAGCGGGCAAGCTTGCTAGACTGCCCTCCAAAGCGCACGAATCTGTTCTTCACTGTTCGCCATCCTCTCCATCACTACCAACACCCAGCACCTTGCTCTCAGCATCATACCAAAGTCGAATCAGCAAGAGAGTGTCCGTCTTGGCTCTTCTAAGGTTCAAACCCTCTAAGGACACATCGCACTTTCTGTTGGACTGCATGCACAATCCCCAGCTAGTTCCCATCATCGCCCGCGCTCTAGTCCGTCTCCCATTCACCATGATCATGCTACAATCCCTCTTGTAGACAACTATCGACTCGATTCCCAACACTTCCGCTCCGTGGGCGATTAACATCCCTTCCCTGTGGCTTGTTAATGGGAATTCTTTGTGAACTATTCTCTCCTGTTATCGCTTGGTCGCTCCTAGACGGATGTATGCACATCATCTTCTGCAGCATGATCCTCGCCTTCACTATCAGCTCCTCCTCCTCCTCCTCCCCCTCATCCTCCTCATCCTCCCCTCCCCCCCCCCTTGCCCTCCATTCTTGTGGCGACACATGCGGAGGCCGAAATGCACTACTGGTGGAGCGAATGAGAAGGCGGGGAAACAGAGGGGGTGGGGTGATCTAAGTACGGGTACTATACAGAAAATCCGAGGGTGTCGCAAGAATGGGGGTGCTGTATACGTAATACATAGGGGTATTTTGAACGGAAATTAGGGGTACGATTACCACTTTCCATTGGAGACCAGAGTGGTATAACCCCCTACCCTAATTTTACAGTTGGAGAGAACTTCAGGTGGGTGGGTACCCCATGTTTCCATCACCCCCTGAAATCCTCTGTGTAACCCCACCTTGCCTAAGACTCCGTAACAATCCAATTTTTGAAATATTGTTCTAAAGTTTGAATATTTGATTATAATGTATTTGAAAATGAGATGAAATCCTGAGTGAGCCAATTATTACCCCCTTATTTACCCTACGAGATACCACCGGTACTGGTATTCCTACTGGCCCGAACTCACACACTGCCGGGGGGCCCGGGCCCGGCAAGCCTCTGGGCCCATCACTGTCATCCGATGGCCCCGGCCACCGGTGAGGCGGAGGTCGGGCTGGCCGGGGGCCGGGCGCTCGGATGGTCAGCCCGGGCCCGGGCCGCAGCGGCGGCGCGCCGAGTGAGCCCGACGCTGAGCCCCCGGCTCGCCTAGGCCCGCTGGCCGTGACTCGGAGCCTTCAGACTCGGCGCCGGGTCACTGAGCCTCTTCCGGGCCCGGCTCCCGGAGTGAGGGGATGAGGGCCATCGAATACAATTTCAGCCTCTCACCTTCCAGTGTTGAGGGGGGTGGGGTAGAGAAAAATTGAATTATGTAGACCACCGGTAAGGAGAAATTCATAATGATAAGGGGGGTTGGGTTATTTCAAGAGAGGTGGGGTAGTGTTTCCTAAACGCTGATCTGCCCGAAAAGTGCGGAGGGATGGCGGAGAGCGCGAGAGAAGGGGAGGGGACGAGAGAGAGAGAACAGGAGAGAGGG